GTCAGGGATTTAGCTCAGTGGTACCACTGCCTGCCTTGAAAGCACAAGGTCCCGAGTTCGATCCCCGGTATCAAAATAAATAAATAAAACAAAAACTGGTATGGGAGGAAAGAAAGAAACAAAGAAAGAAAGAAAGAAAGGAAGGAAGGAAGGAAGGAAGGAAGGAAGGGGATGAAAGAGAGAGAGAGAAAGAGCCACTACAACAGACCCACAGTGTGGCCTAACTGAAAATTCAACCTTTCCTAAAAGAATTTATATAACAAGCAGGCGTGTTGGCACACACCTGTAATCCCACACAAGAGGAGGTTCAGACAGGATGGCAAGTTTGAGCTGAGCCTGAGCAAAGTAGGGATTTAGCAAGACTCTATCTCAAAATTTAAAAAGAGCTGGGGATGTCACTCAGTCCAAAGGCCCTGGGTTCAGTCCCTGATACTGCCAAAAAACCCAATTTGTTTTATACAATAAAAATTCAAGGGGGCTGGGGATTTAGCTCAGTGGCACCCCACCTGCCTTGCAAGCACAAGGTCCTGAGTTTGATCCCCAGTACCAAAAAAAAAAAAAAGAAAAAAAATTCAAAATGGAGCCTGGTACAGTGGTAAACATCTGTAAACTCAGCACTCTGAGAAGCCAAGGTAGAAGGATCACCCTCCTGGCCAACTTAATGAGCCTCTGCCTCAAAAAAAAATGTTAAAAGGGCTAAGGAGGTAGCTCAGGGTGAAGGCCCTGTGTTCAATCCCTAGTCACACACACACACACACACACACACACACACACACACACATGGTTTCTACTGACTGGTTCTGAATTAACTCTTTCTCAAATCTTAAGCAATACAAACCTTAACCAATATGAGGTTCGGGTCACACTTCTATGTGGGGATCCTACTAAATTTAGATGAGGTGCTCCCTGCACTCTCAAGGGAGTTACTGAACATACAGCAGTGGGCAAATGTAACCACTGGGACAATGTAACTACCTGGATCCCCCAAGTCACAGGGCCCATGTCCTAAACACCCCTTGATGCTCCGCCCCAGTGAAAAGCACAGGAAAAGGACACCACAGCTTTGTACTTACTTTGGCTGAACACGATGGGACCCGTTGACCTTCCACCCCTCCACCGGAAGAGCTGAGGTTGTTCAATATCACTGAAAGCAGGGCTTGGAGGACTAAAGCCCATTCAACAAGCCCTACTTAGGACTTGGGTGACCATCCTCACTGCTGCTTACCCATTTCAGCGTCTGTAGCCAGCATCTCCTGTAACACCTCCTACATTGAGGTAAAAGTATAATAAATGTATGGAACAGTTTTATACGACCCACAAGGCTTCAGAGATGAAGATCCTTACTGGGCATGGGCACATGCCTGTGAATCCAGTTATATGGGAGGCTAAGGCAGGCAGATTGCAAGTTCAAGGGTAGCATAGGCAACTTACTGAGACCAGGCTTCCAAATAAAAAAGTAAAAAGGGCCGGGGATGTAGCTTGGGGCTCCCTGGGTTCAATCCTGAGTACTCCAAAAGAAAGAAAAGGGGGCCGGGGATTTAGCTCAGTGGTGCTGTCACTTGCCTTGCATTCGCAAGGTCCAGAGTTCGATCCCCAGTACCCTCCCCAAAAAGAAAGAAAAGTAAGGAAATAGAGAAAGGGAAGGAAAGAAAAAGAAGAAAGGAAGGAAGGAAGAAGGAAGGAGGGAGGGAGGGAGGGAGGGAGAGAGAGAGAGAAAAAGAAAGCAAGCAAGCAAGCAAGAAAGAAAGCCAGCCAGCCAGCCAGCAAGAAAGAAAGACACTAAAGACCCGGGGAAGCAGTATGCGTGTGAGTAGCTGCAGGAAGAATGGACTACACATACAGAAACGTGACCGGACACACAGGGCCTGGCCTGAGGGAAATAAACCGAGAGGGGAGCCCAGCAGCACCAGTTCATTCAGATTCTCCAGCCTCTCTGCATCACTGGGGGGAATGCGGGACACCTGTCCCATGGAGGTCTCCAGGAACAAAGGGAAAGGCTCGGAGAATGGCGTCTCCAGGTTCTAGGACTTGCTTTAGGGAACCAGAACTCTGGTTTCCATGACCTGCCTCAGGAAAAAGAAGGGGAGGGAGAAAGGCAGAAGGGAGCAGCAGAGACCCTTCCTTCCCTGGCCTTCAGTTCAGAGTGAGGCACATGCAGCAAATGCTGCAGCAGTCATGCCTCTGGAAGCAATCGACTGCACGTGAAGCCGTGTGAGTGTGCTCTGCAGTGTGTATACAGGGACAAAACCAACCAACAGTGTGCCCTCCCGACATATCACTGTGGTTGAGCCATGTGTGACTGTTCTCAGTGCACCCACGCTCCATACTTTGGGGTATCGTGTTCTGAGCCCCAACACAGGCGTGCTGCTGACTGTACCCAGCCTTCTCCAGAAGCAGATATGATGCCACGTTGTGGACGTAGAGCTGTGACATCACACTGACAACATACACCCATGTCCACGAGATGCAGCTGCTATGCCCCTTAGGAGGCACGAATACCCACACAGGAGCTGCACACCGGGGATGGGCCAGCTGCGTGTGGGGGCTCATGCCTGTCACCCCAGCACTTTGGGAGGCTGAGGCAGGAGGATCTCAAGGTTGAGCCCAGCCTGGGCAACTGAGTGAGACCCTGTTACAACTAAAGAATGTAAAAAAGGGCTGAGGGTGTAACTGAGTGTGAAGGCCCTGGGTCCAATCCCCAAGTCCTGCAGAACGGGGGGTGGGGGGCAGAATGAGCCTTGGGATACACAGAGTACAAAGCCCCACCTCAGTTGAATTCCTGAAAACTCTTCAGTAACATGAGAACCCCTCCCACCCTTTGACAATGTCAAGAAGCAGCTATTAAGCCCCTAGCACCCACAGTTTAAAACAAACCCAAAACATCGTAGGCCTTGTTGGGTTCTGGAGGCAAAGTGTTCATCATCTACAAATTCTACGCAAGCCCATGTATGCTGTTACTAGAAAACTGGCCCGGCTTGCATGGGGGCTCCAGCGTTTGTCCAAACGGCAACACAACAAGCACCCCACCCATGCCCAGAGACCCCTTCATGATAGTAGCTGTGGGGACCACCCACAGTGGCTATGGTCATCCAGGGTCTGGGCCTGCTGTGCGCAGGAAGAGGCCACTCCAGCTCCCTGTTGGGGCTGTCCTAGAGACACAGCTCAGCACCTGTGACCTCTGTGCCCAGCCGCCCACCTTGCCTGGAGTCCTGCAATCAGCACCTGGCACATGCAGCACGGCTCTGAGACCACCTCAATTCATCATGGAGCCAAACCAGAGCCCCCCGTAGATCACTCCTGCAGGACAGGGTAACCGCCCCATCCTCAGTTCCTGCAGATGCCGGATGCCCCTGGTGCCCCGGCCACCCGGGTTTAACTGAGCAAACAGTGATGGGGGCTGATGGCCGGGACTTCATGGACGACAGCTCCACTCTCTCCAGCACCAGACTTGCCTTTGAGCCACTGCTTTTCACGCATTCCCCAGGACACCCTGATGAAGGGCAGGCTCGGCACACTGGCTGGACCTCGGGCCATCCCTGGGCACCCACTCAGTAGCACCTGCCCATTTCCAAAGATGTCTGAGCCATCACACCTGGTCTGCCTGCTTGGGCCTGGCAGGGGCAGTGCCACAATCCCTCGTGCAGAGTCACCCACCCTGGGGAAATGACATGGGTCCCCGGGCTCGTAGGTGCCCCCATGTTGATCAAGCTCACACACGTCTGCACACACAGAAGCCACGACCTGGAGATGCCCTTCTCCCTGCAGAGTCCCACACGATGCTGAGAGTGACCAGGGCACCCTCCTCTCCTTTGAAGGTGGACTGGTGGCCCCGGACAAGGCACTTGATGGGACAGTCACCTTCCTTGCCGCCCCTGGGCTGTGGGGCTCACAGAGCACACACTGGCTCAGCACAGGTGTCCACACTGGGTTCCGTGACACATAGCACCTGCCGGTCATCAGCCAAGCTCAGGGTGGATTATCAAAAAGAGTTGACCTCCATTTTTTAATATGATCATTTGTTATCATATTAACTCTGATAACTTGTTAAAGTCTTTCCTTCCCTCCTCCCCTTCTTCCTCAAGCTGATAAAACCCTGGTGTGGGCAGGTATGGGAGGCTGGGCGGCTCAGGCAGGAGAGTCTCAAGTTCAAGACTGGCCTGGGCAACTTAGTGAGACTTTGTCTCAAAATTTAAAAATCAAACAAGACCAGGGATGTAGCTCAATGCAAAAGCTCTGGGTTCAATTCCCAGTAGTGGAAAAGGAAGGAAGGAAGGAAGGAAGGAAGGAAGGAAGGAAGGAAGGAAGGAAAACAGAAGGCAAGGGAAGGGAAGGCAAGGAAGGGGAGGGAGGGGAGGGGAGGGGAGGGGAGGGGAGAGGAGAGGAGAGGAGAGGAGAGGAGAGGAGGAACATTAGTCCCAGGGCCCCTTCAGACCACACACACCCTGGCTTGTGCATGGGAACCTTCACCCCAGCCCCGGCCTCCCTTTCCCTCTGAGGCTGTTTTTGGACCCCGATGGGAAACCTGCCCTGCTCCCCAAGAAAGCCTGGACCTGTGCATCCAAAGCCCTGTCTCGCCTTCTTCGTGAGTGTGGCATCAGCAGCCTCTGTGTCCAAGCGGATGCAGGGTGGGGGTCCTTTGTGTGCCAGGGCGGTGACTGTGGCAGGAGATTGGAAGCCCCCAGGAGGGCAGGGAAGCACATGCAGAGGGGCACTTACTCACACCTCAGAAATGCTTGCCAGAGGCCATGCTGGGAGCGCAGAGAACCCTGACCAGCTGCTTTCCCGGCAGTGGCCAGCCGGTCCCCTCTGTAGGCTCTCGGAGAGGAAAGGCCCTGGCCTGGGCCTGGCAGCCAGGGAGGCTTCCTGGCAGGTGGGGCTCAGAAGGTCTTTGCAAGAGTGGTGAAGATTCATCACGAAAACGCCAAGGAAGGGGCACTGCAATGTGAAGAGAGGCAGGCTCAGGCTCCCGGTTCAAGATATTTGGCATTTCTAGACCCTGGGGGCCAAGTTAGGAGCTGAGATCCAAGAGGGGCTGAATGCAGATCATGCAGGGCCTCAAAGGCCATGCTGAAGGGCCGGGACTTTGACCATGGGATGGGTGGACCACATTTTATGTATCATCAGTTATGGCATCAAATCGACAGATAAAGGGTTTCCTTTGGGGCTGATGAAAATGTTCTGGAAGTAGTGATGATGGTTGCACAACCTTGGGAAATTGTGACTGTGGTGGAAGTCATTGGACTGTAGAGTTCAAATTGGTTAAAATGCAAATTTGTGTGTTATATTAATTGTACGAGGGGAAGGGGGGACAAGAAGGGAGAGAGGCAGGAGAGAGAGAGAGAGAGAGAGAGATCTACTCTATTAAGCACATAGTTTTATCTTGTTTTTTCCAGTGTTTTAGGACCAGGAAATATCCCACTATAAATCTGAATTTCCAGCTTCCCTGAGAAAGCCAGAGGACCTGGCCCCATGGCCCCTATGCCCTCCAGCCGAGCAGCAGGGTGGATTTCATTGCGTATAAATTACACCGCAATAAAGCTGATTCCCAAAAGTTCCTCAGAAAGGGAGAGGTGAGTTAGTTGGTGTCCAGAGCAAATCAAACGCTGAAGCTTTATCGCTGCAAAAACAAACAGACCTAAGACACGAGGAGACAGTGAAAGATGAAAGGGGATGGGGTGAGCCTCTCCTCTCTTCCTGTTTTGCCATCTCTGAAGGCCTCGCTTCCGCTTTCCCTCCTGAGTCCTCCTCTCTCTCTCCCTCCCTTTCTCTCAGATGAGGGGAAAACTCAGAGGAACTGGGAGAGACTTCTGTGGTCCCTTGATATGTGTCCTTTTTCTCTCCTTGTCCTTCCTCTCTGTCTCTCTTCCTTCTCCCTCTCTGCCATTTCTATTTCCCTACGTCTTTCTTCCTCTGTGGGTTTTAAGTAATGGACGCTCTCATGCAAAAAAAAAAAAGCTTTCCCGGAATGAGATGAATCAACCTGGTATTGCCGTGTGCGCGTGCGTGTGCGCGGCCTTCGGGGTGAGAACATTGCGTGGTCCATTTAAACCCCGTCAGAGTCGGGCTTTCACGGAACTCCACCGGGGAACCCTCCCTGCCTCTCCCTGACCACTAAGTCAAATCGCTCCCTTCCTCTTCTTGGGGCTCCCTGTTCTCCGCGTGGGTGCGCCTCGCCCCACTCCCGCAGCCTCTGCTTCCTCCTGCTCCTCCCCGGCCCTGATCGGTCGGGGCTCCCACCCTCCGCTCATGCTGGCTGGAGTGGGGATTAGGACCTAGCTCCAGGCACCCTGAGTCATCACCCCCGCCGGCAGGGCAGCAAGCTGGTCGGAGAGCAGAGGGCTGGGGGTGGGGCTGTGTCTCCCCACCCGGGTCCTTCCTGTCCCCCTCCCTGTGGCGGTGAAGCTCAATTAGAGGCGAAACGCGCTCCTGGGGATCAGAGCGAGCCCCACCATCAGTCCTTCTCATCCCCTTCCCTCCACTCGGAAATCGGTCGGGCCGGGGCAGTGAGAGCTAAAAGCCTCGCCAGCTGGAGCCTGGGGCAGGCAGACAGAAGGAAGAGGACAGGTAGGGCAGCACGTCAGGTGGCAGAGGGGGCAGGTGGGCCGTGGGGGGCCTGGCTAGCACAGGGGCCGGCAGGTAGGTGGACAGAGAGCCGCCGAGAGGTAGGCGGCTGAGCCCACGACTCAGGACCTGGCAGACAGAGACAAGATGAGAAGGAGCAGACGCTGGCATGCAAGGGACAGGTGGGGAAGGGTGAGGCCACCAGAAAGAGGAAGACAGTGCTGAGGTCCTCGAGGACAGGGAGGCAGACCTCTGAGACCCTCACTCTCCCCAGACCCCGAGACAGCCCGCCATGGGGCTCGGCACCTTCCTGCTCCTGTGTGCTCTTGGTGAGTTCTGTGGACAAGGGGAGGCGGGACCCGGGCTGGGTCCCCACCACCACCCCAGCTCGGCTCTGACCCAGACCAGTGCTAGGGATGGGAAAGGGCCTCCCTCTGCCTGTCGGGTCCCCAGCCTCTGTCACTGTTCCCCTCTCTCTGGGGAGCTCTGTGTCTGTCTCTCCCTTTATCTTTCTGTCTGGGCCGCTCTGCTGTTTGCTGTGTCTTTCTCTCTCTATTGCTTTCCCCACCTCTGTACCCCTCCTCCTGCCTCCGCCCCAGTCTTTCTTTTTGTCTGACCCCATGTTTGCCCCTTGTAGGTCTCAGCAGGGCAGACAGAGAGAAGATCTTCCATGGTGTTGAGTGCGTCCCTCACTCACAGCCCTGGCAGGTGGGGCTGTTTTCGGGCAGCAGCCTGCACTGTGGGGGGGTCCTCATCCACCCGAGGTGGGTGCTCCCAGCAGCTCACTGCAGCAGCAGGTAAGGCCTGGGATGGGGGCGTCCTGGGCTGGACAGAGGAGGCGCTGGGGAGGCGTCTCTCACCTGACAGGGCTGAGTGAGGGTGCTGAGGTGCAGAAAGCCAGTCCTACAAGAGAGTCTGAGGGTAGAGCAGGACTCGCACTTCCTCCAGAGTGGGCTTGGGGCAGGTGGAGGCCTGGGAGTTCCCCCGAGGCAGCCCAACTGTGCCTCCCATTTCCTCCTGTGCCTTTCCTTCCCTACATGGTGTCTGTCACCAGCCCCAACCATTCCTGGACCCAGTCTGGACCCAGTCTGGACCCAATCAGGGACTAGAGCTCAGTTCGCTGGGCCACTTTCTAGGTCTGATGCTCTGGGGCGTTTTATGAAGAGAGAGCTGATGCAAAGGGGCAGGGAGGCTTGGGGACAGAGAGACACAGCAGGACAGAGAGGCCATTTCCGCCTCACTCGCTCCATCAGTGTGTGGACCCAGGCAGTGGGCAGGGCAGAGGTCCCCGCCTCCCTCCTGAGCCTCAGTGTGTAAGAGCATCAGAAAGAAGCCCAGCAAGGAGGGGACACCCCAGACGGAAAGAGCAAGGGACAGAGACCCAGAGGCCAGAGGAGAGGCTCATGGAGAGGACGTGGTGGAGAGAGGATGGACACCAGGGTGCAGGGCAGCGGAGAGACCTCTTGCTCAGCCGCTGCCCCTCAGCAGGTACTGGGTGCGCCTGGGGGAACACAGCCTCGGCAGGCTGGACTGGACGGAGCAGTTCCAGCGCAGCGGCCTCTCCGTGACCCACCTTGGCTACCAGGGAGCCCTGCAGAGCCGTGAGCATGACCTCCGGCTCCTGAGGCTGCTCACACCCATCCGCCTGACCTGCAGCGTCCAACCGCTGCCCCTGCCTAGCACTTGCGCGGCCGCTGGCACCAACCGCCACATCTCGGGCTGAGGCACCACCAACTGACCATGGGGTGAGGGACGAGGGTCCGGGTCAGGGTGGGGTAGAGGCGAGGGCAGTACAGTGAGAGGTCCAGAGCCAAGAGAGCTGGAGAGGACAGGTACAGGGTCAGGATCATGGCTTGGGGACCGAGACTGTGGTGGTCAGAAAGGCTAAGGGTGTGGGGATGGAGTGAGAGCCGAGGTCAGAGTGAAGTCGGGCTCGTCAGCCTGCAGCAAAGGTCACCTCTAAATAGGGTCTAGGTCCGAGGTTCCGGGGTTAGAGGTCACTGGAGCCCAAGTCACGGAATTCAGATGCTCCACAAGCTGCTCAGCGTCTGAAGTTAAAAACTGGGATTTTGTCACATGTCTCAAGATTGGAAGCCGTGGAGTCTGGCATGTGGGGCCAGAGGTTCAGGTTCAGGGAATCTGGGGTCAAATAAACTATGATCAGAAGATACTTTGGGGTTGGGACCCAGGAAATGAAGGTTGAGGATCAAGGTTAGGGCGAGGACAAGGACGTGGGGTCAGAAGGCAGAGATGCGTGTGGAACCAGGACACTGAGGCAATGAGATTAAAGCTCAAAGGTCAAGCGAACTGGGCCAAAGGTCACGACGACATCGAGGGGTAACCCTGACACTCAGTGATTTCGGGTAGCCGTGTAGAATGGTGGGGGCGGAAGAACAGGCTGAGATGGGCCTTGCTTGAGAAGAAGGATGTGGCCCCAAAGTGGGGAGCTTTGAGGGACCCTGTAGCACCCAGCTTCTACCCCCAGATCCATTCCCAGACCGACACCAGTGCCTCAACCCCTCTGCTGTCTCCACTGATGCCTGTCAGGCCGCGTTCCCTGGGAGAATCACAGCCAACACGGTGTGCGCAGGTGGTGTTGCCGGGAAGGATGGCTGCCGGGTGAGTGCGTGTGGCCGGGGCCTGGCTACCCAGACAGGAAGTGAAGCAGGCAGCGGGGAAGCGGAGGCCGGAAGCAGGAGGGAAGCTGACGGAAGATGAGCAGGGGACAGGGCAGAGAGAGAGAGTGAGAAAGGAGGAGAGGCTCCGCATAAGGGTGGAGGGAGACGGAGCATGGAAGGGAGGACCAGGGACGGAGGACAGAAGGAAGGAGACAGAGAGGGAAAGGCAGAGAAGGAAAGGCGGGTAGGGGCGCAAAGCGGGGCAGGGGAGAGACAGAAGGGCGGGGGACAGAGGATGGAGGGGTAAAGAGCTGTCCAGGACTCGGAGCTCACACGGGGGCTCCTGCTTCTAGTCTTCTGCACACCATCCCAGGTTGAGAGATTTGGAGACAGTGACAGAAAAGGCCAGCGGACTCTGGGTCCCCTAGAGGAGGCCAGGGACATAACGGCTGTCCTTAAGAGAACCCCATGCCCTCATGGAATCTCGTCCTCCTCCTCTGGGATTGGTCATTGGTGATGTGTGCGCTCCCTCCATCGGCCTCAACCGCTGTCCTTGAGAGAACTCTCTACGTTTATAAAGTCCTGCCCTCCAACCCTTGGATTGGTTAAAGTTGATGGTGCTCTCTCCCTTCATTGGTCAGAGCCCCAGTCGTTGCCTGGCAGAACCTGCTTCCCTTTACCTTAGAGTCCTGCCCTCTTTTGCTGGGATTGGCCCCTAGGGATGTATGTTCTTTTCTGTTGGCTGGCCATTGCCATTGGCCTTTGGGAAGGAAGCTTGGCTGTGCTCTGCTGCCAAGACCAGACTTGCAGCCATTGTCCTCAAGGCCTAGGAATGCCAAAGGGCACAGGGACAGGACCTCTCCCTTATTCATGCAATTCTCCTTTTCCTCTGTCTTCCAGCGAGACTCTGGGGGCCTGCTGGTGTGTGGGGGAGTCCTTCAGGGTCTGGTGTCCTGGGGGTCTGTGGGGCCTTGTGGGCAAAAAGGCATCCCAGGGGTCTACACCTTTGTTTGCAAATACGTGGACTGGATCCGGATGATCATGAGGAACAACTGACCGGCTTCCTCCATCTTCACCCTTCAACGTGGGGGACCCTCAGCAGGAGCCTCCTCCCTACCATGCCCACTCTCACTCTTGTTGGTTTGGGGAACCTCTTGGAACACTCCTTCCAGCCAGCCCTCCTGAGCCCCAAGAGTGGGATGGGAAGTCTGTGTGGAATAAATGTATGTAACTGAAGGAGGAGCCACACCTGTCTGCTTGATGTCCCTGTGTTGTGTGTGTGTGTGCCCCTGACTCCCCTGCCTGGAGGTATAGAAACAGACCTCAGATGGGGCAGGAGTTTTCCCTAAGGGATCCCCTGGGAATGGAGAAGGGAAAATCACTACGACGAGAAAAACAAGGGCCACTTTTCTCCACCAGCCACGATAGAAACAGCACCAGAGGACATAAGCCTTTCAGTGGCCTGCAAAGAACCTGAAGGAGGACAAAGGAAATTGTGGCCTCCAAAATACTACATGCAAACTGCAGAGCCAAAATGCATACCCATTAATGAGATGTCTATAAAAACCACCTTCTGTGCTATCCAGCTGCAGATCAGCTTTTTTTTTTTTTTTTTTTTGGTACCGGGGATCGAACTCCGGTCCTTGCGCTTGCACAGCAGGTGGCAAAACCACTGAGCTAAATCCCCGGCCCCAGGTCAGCTCTGTTGAGTACACACAGTTCCTGTGGAGGTCAGACTTCTCACATCCGTGATGACCTGGGGCGGGATGCAGCCCTGGGAAACAAGAGAACCCAGCCTGTGTCTGTTCTTTTTTGGGGCAATACTGGGGATTGAACCCATGGTCTTTGCACTGAGCTACATTCCCAGCCCCTTTATTTATTTATTGTGTGTGTGTGTGACAGAGTCTCGCTAAATCACTAATTGCCCAGGCTGGGTTTGAACTTGTAATCCCCCTGCCTTGGCCTCCCAGATTGCTAGGATTACAGGTGTCCACCGCGCCCAGCTTCAGTCAGGTCACAAAAGCGAGGAGGAAATATCTTCCTCTGGAGGGGCGAGGGATAATCCCCACAGCACAGGAAGCCGCTGCGCTGGGCTCCTTCCTGGAATCCTCATGCCACCTCTCACCCCACCCCAAGGCAGGGCTGTCACCCCCATGCAGCAGATGAAGAAACTGAGCCTCACAGGGGTGGAGGCCCTCATCCCACGTCACAGTGGTAGGAAGAGGCAGAACCAGGGTTTGAGGCCAGGGTTGGCTGCTGTCAGGACCTGGGCCTACCCCGCCTTGTTGCACATCTGGTTAGGGGAGAGAGGAGAGGAGGATCAGGAAGAGATCTGGCTGCAAACAAACCCACGGTGGGAATTTGAAGCCGGGTTTCACAGATGAGGAAACCGAGGTGGCTCACGGGCTGGAAGTCATCAGACCCAAGCTACACAGCATCAAGTAAGTGCCTGCGCTGGCTCTGGACAGACAGCCAGCATCGGAGGCCTGGGCCGGGGCGGGGGAGCGGGGTGCAGGGGGAAGGTCACAAACGAGTGAGGCCCCAGAGGTGCCTGGGACTGGCGCACCTGCAGCGGCTCCTCTCCCTCCCCAGGCCTTGGCTCCCACAGGCCCCGACCTGCCTCCCCCCCCAGTCCTGCCCCCTCGCCTGGCAGGAGCCCCACCTCTGTGACACCCCAGTTCCCCCCAGTCTTTGGAAAGGTGAAGGGAGGTATCCAGAGGAGGCCAGGCACTCCGGGCTGTGAGCAGCGGGGGTAGGAAGACACACACACACACACACACACACACACACACACACACACACGGAAGGAGAGAGATCCGAGACCGAGCCCCGAGCCGAGAGAAACACCAAGACAGAAAGCGCTAGAGAAGAGGACGTGCGAGGAGCTGAGCCAGACCAAGGAGGACACACAGGGACAGAGCCCCAACAGGAAGAGGAAGGCCGCGCGCGCACACACATGCACGCGCAGAATCACAGGACGGCAGAGAGCGACACAGACAGGACAGGTCCAGGGAAGGGCGCACACGGGAGGGACACGGAGGCACAGAGGGGGCTTGGAGAGGCGACAGAGGCAGGCGGGCAGCGCCCCAGGAGGCCCCACACCCCGCCCCTGCCTGCCCGTCTGCCTGGTGCCTGGCGCTCCGACCCAGCCTGCCGAAGCTGCCACCGCCGGGCCCCCAGAGCCTGTGAGTGAGTTGGGGAGGGAAGGGAAGGCCCCTCGTGGAGCCTGCCGGCCGAGGCCCATCTTCCTCTGCCTCAGCTCCTCCTCCTCAGCCTCCCTTGGCTCCAGCCTCCTCAGCTTGGGGGGAAGCTCTTGCGCTCCCTCTCTCCCTCTCTCTGCATCTCTCATTTCCAATCTTGCTGCCCCCAACCTGGATGACCTCTGACCCCACCCTCAGTTGCTAAATACAGCCCTTCCTTCCCCTACGCCCCCACCCCGGCTGGCCAGGGCAGCTGAGGACACCGGGCCTCCCCGGGGCCAGCCCCGCCCAGCGCTGTCCGGCTACCTGCCAAAGACACAGGGATTCCACGAGGGAGGGGCAGGACATTGTCCCACACGAGTCCCCTGCTTCACTGGTGGGAAGCAGCCTGAAAGGCTCCATCACGTCACCCTGCTCTAGGGACAAGAAGGATGGGGTGCTCCCAAGCGGGGCCTGGCTCCCCTTGTCCTCCCAAACCCACGCAGGGGAGCGGAAAGAGGAACATTCTCTATGATGCGCTAGGCTGCCCCACATACGCTGCCCCCCGCCAGCCTCCTCCCCAAAGTGTCCACAGCTCCTTGGCTGACCGGAAGCCCCTCCAAGACCACCGTGGAGCCCAAAGACTTCATTAGGGCCTGGGAGCCTGGTGTGTTGAGAAGGAAAGGGCTTTTTTCTCCCTGGGGGAAGCAGGCAGGGGTGAGGAGAGGCAGGCAGAGCAGGTAAGGGAGAGAGCGAGGTCAGAAGGCGGCCGGGATCTCCCCTCAAAGTGACTAGGCCCCTGTCTCCCTCCTTGTTCCCAGAGCCCTGCCCTGTTCCCCTCCAGGCCATGAGGATTCTCTGGCTGATCACGCTTGCTCTGGTGACAGGTACGGAGGTGCTGGGGACACAGGGGCTTCTCTCAGAAATCGCTAGGGTTCCCAGAGGGACTGGACGCCCCTGGCTACAACGGGTGTGAACCCTTCAGATGCCAGAACAATGCAGGGAGGTCCGGGTGGTCCCAGAGGCGTGGCCAGAGGCGCTGGGAGGGGCGTGAGCACTCGGCACTGGGGCAGCGCTCCTGGCCCACGTGTGGCAATCCTGGTGCAACACCAGATGGTGACCCAGACCACTGCCCTCTCTGCCCTACGCTCATTTCTGGGGATTCCCCACCTACCTCTTCCCGTGCCTGAGCCCCCCTTCCACCCGACCCTCCAGGGCACGTAGGGGGAGAGACCCGGATCATCAAAGGTTACCCGTGCCTGCCTCACTCCCAGCCCTGGCAAGTGGCCCTGTTCCAGAAGACACGACTGCTGTGCGGGGCGACCCTCATCGGCCCCCAATGGCTCCTGACCGCAGCCCACTGCCGCAAGCCGTGGGTGCGGGGGCTGGGCGGGGCTAGGAGGCGGGGCTGGCGGTGGGGTGGTGCTAGCCAGGGCTGGGGCTGCAGGAGGAGGAGCGGCTGAAGCCGGCTGGGGATTGGGGGGGACACAGGATGGAAAGGGGCTCCGTGGGAAACAGGCCGGAAGTGGCACGAAGCCCCTTCATTCCTGAAGATGTCTCTCACGCCCCTCCGCATCTCCCCCACCTCTCCACCTCTGATTGCCCTCTCTCTCTCTGCAGCCATTACCGGGTCCTCCTGGGGGAGCACAACTTGAATCGGGAGGATGGCTGTGAGCAGAGGCAGACGGCCACCGAGTCCTTCCCCCACCCCGACTTCAACAACAGCCTCCCCAACAAGGACCACCGCAACGACATCATGCTCGTGAAGCTGCCCAGGCCGGCCGTCATCACCCAGGCCGTGCGACCCCTCTCCCTGCCTTCGCACTGTGTCACCGCTGGCACCAACTGCCTCATTTCCGGCTGGGGCACCACATCCAGCCCCCAGTGTAGGGGAACACGGAAGGGGTGGGAGGGAAGGAAGGTTATGAGGATGGAGGAACTTCCAGAGACGTCAGCCCCAGGGATACAAGGAGAGCTCCCTGGGCTGGGGAGGGTGGAGACTCAAGTTTGGGCGGAGGAGCGCACAGATGTGAGATGTAATCCCAGATCTGGACCTTGGGCAAGTGCTTCACCTCCATGAAGCTGTGTTCTTCTCTATAAAATGAGAATAATCACATCCACCTGTCAGGGTTGGATTAGCAATGAGGAGTGAGGAGTTTACTCAATGGCGTTATTGTTGCTGTTGTTCCAGACAGATGAGCTGGCTGCAGACAGAAAGGACCGGGTTCTCCTAGGTGCTGGGCGATAGCACAGCGGGCCCCGGGGGCAGGGAAGCTGGGGGCTCCCTCCCACGCCCCCCTGTTTCCACAGTGCATCTGCCCCACACCTTGCGGTGCACCAACATCTCCATCATGAAGCACGAGGAGTGTGAGCGTGCCTACCCCGGCAACATCACAGACACCATGGTGTGCGCCAGCGTGCGGCAAGAGGGCAAGGACTCCTGTCAGGTCAGCGGGCAGGGCCTGGGTCCAGAACCTCAGTGGCACCTTCAGCGACGTCCACAGTTCATCCCAACCCAACTCCATCCCCCGCAGCTAAATCCATGTCCATCCCCAGTTGCCATTTCTGACCCGGGCAAAACCCCTGGCCTTCCCCCCACCCCCGGCTGCAGCCCAGCCTTCCCCAAACCTGCGTTGGACCGACCCCCACCCCTACTCCCCAAGCTCCTCCCCACCTCTGCTCACACCGAGGTGCGGCGCCCTCTGCTCTGACTGGTTCTCTCTCTCCTCGTGCCCAGGGTGACTCTGGGGGCCCTCTGGTCTGTAACCAGTCTCTCCAAGGCATTATCTCCTGGGGCCAGGACCCATGTGCAGTTTCCAGAAAGCCCGGTGTCTACACAAAAGTCTGCAAATATGTGGACTGGATTCAGAAGATTATGCACAACAATTAGCAGCACCCGCTTGCACGGTCAAAATCTCAATGTTTGGAAGTCTGCACGTTCTTATAAGAAACCCTAAGTCACGATCCTATTATGTCATTTCTTTGGGGCTGCCTTCACTTATGTGAGGTTCTACAGCTTTCTAGTAAGCTTGGGGTTTGGAATCAGAATCCTGAATTCAAATCCTGACTTGGACTAACTTGTCACTCTGGAAATGATCATAACTATTTTGTCTCCTATTTTATCCCAGTCCCCAAACCATTCTTGACAAAGATGAGATTTAATAAATATTTGAAGAACAAATGAATCTACTGAGTCCTCAGTATGTTCTGGATCCTGGTTCCAAGGGCTTTTAAATACATCAACCAACTTAATCCTCACTAAACCCTATGGGGCCAGTACTATTATTATACCATTTTACAGATGAAGAAACCAAGATGTGGAGAAGTGAAGTCACTTGGCCATGCTCACTGAGCCAGTGAGTGAAAGAGCAAGGATTTGAACACACTTTTTGATATTCCCTGATCGAGGCTCAGTTTCCTTTATGTGTACACTCATGCCTGCAAAATTATGATGGTATAGAAAGTCATTCCCCACACAGGAAGACCTTGAAAAAACCAGCTGTCCATGTTATTTCCCAGCCTCTGTGATAGGCAGTTCATTGAGGCCTGTGCTGGCCAATATGGTCACTTCTAGCCACATGTGGCTATTTAAACTTCACACATTTCAAATGCTCCAGAGCCATGTGTCAGATGGCACACATGGAACACCACCACTGTCGTGGTGTTTGATTGAACAGGACCAAGCTAGGCAACCTCGAGCCTTAATTTTCGACAGACACGATGTCCCACAAAAAATCCAGAACTTGGGATCTTTTCTTTTCCACTGATCCACTCACCTTGCTGGAGAGGAGTTAAGGGCCCAGCGCTGGCATTAGGGCTTTCAGATTTTTAGGTGGATTTGCTGTGCAACCTCTTGTGAGTCACTGTCCTCCCTGAGCTCGCCACTCCTCACTTGAAATGAGAGTTGGTCAAGTTGAGGTTGATGCCCCTTGCAGACCAGGGTTCCTGTGATTCATAGGCCTGTGTGTCGCTCAGAGATACCTAGATAGCAATGAGATGGCCACACATGGTATGATGCAGAGCCACAACCAGAAACATGCAAGAGGGCCAGTTCCTGGGACATAGGAAATGAGCCCACTGCTCCAGCCTGGCAGGGGGAGGTGGGAGATAAGGACACAGAGCATCACCAGCCTGCCTCCTCTCCTTGGCCCCCTTCTACCACTGTGCACCTCTTTTCCAGCAACATCTTAGCCTTGGCTTCTTTCTGCCTCCCCAATTATCAGTCTCCCTTTCCCAGCTAGGCGCTGTTCCTCCCGCCCTCCTCCAGGCTCCCTCCCTCCTTGCCTTCCGCATTCTCACTCAGCCACACGAAGCATGCATTTCCCTGTTTATTTCCTCCCTCTCGCTCTTATCGCCTACCATCCCACCATCCAGGCTCCTTGGGGATCCATACCTTCCCACACACACACCTGGGAGGACTTGAGAGGGGAAGCCCCAGTTATCCAGCTCCAAAAAGGGTGTTTGGGGCACTGGGAGAAGCCTGTATTCCAGGGCCCCTCCCAGGGCAGGAATCTGGGGCCTAGGTTGGATGCCAGCCCCACCCACGACATAATTAGGGAGAGAGAAAGGGAGGGAGTGAACCCCAGGGGGGAGGGAGGGGAAGCTTCCGGGATCTGCAGGGTTAAAAGCGAAGGTCTGGCCAGGGGTCTCTCGGGCAGAGGATTCCGGCGGCCCACACTGCGCGGAGAGGGGCAGAGGCACCTCTCCGAGTCTCCTCCCTCCCTCCTATCGGCAACTTCCAGGTGAAAGGGGATGCACTCCACCCCACCTGGGGCGAAGGGGGAGGATGGGTGGGGACCCTCAGGCCACCCCTGGGAGAAACCCTGTTTGAGCTTCGATTTCCTTATCTGGGGGTTGGGAAAGTCCCCCAGCTGTGAGGTTTGGGAAGAGGGTTCCACTGGCTCAGAGCCTCGGTCCCCACTCCATCTGCTGGCGCGCGGTGCGGTTAGCAGGAAGGCCAGACGGAAGCCAGTGAAGCGTCATTAGGGTATTTGCACCCATCAGGGCTGTTCTGGCCCATTGTCGCTGCAGTGTTCCCCTGCAGTTTAATCAGGATCCCCGCGAGCTGGAGTGGCCCTGGAGGATCAGGCGAGGGTCATCTCTTTTAACCCGCCTCCTGCGCCCCAGTTCAGATCCTGGCTATGAGACCCCCACTCCTCCACCTTTCCGCCCCCTCTGGCGCCCGGGCCCTGGTGAAGCTGCTGCTTCCGCTACTGATGGCGCAACTCTGGGGTGAGCCGGGACACGGGGGCAGCGGGAGGTGCCGAGATCGGGGTGCTGAAGGTTCTACTACCAACCGTGTCACACCTATCTTTCCCCCTGCAACCCCAGCGTTCCGGAGTAGGGCGTCCCGCGTCTCCCGTGCCTCTCTTCTAGCTTCATCCCTGGGCGCACTGCCCCATTCCAGCCCCATCTTCTTTACACCTCCAGGATCGCGACTCCTCTTCTCTCCCCGCTAAATTCTTTCTCCCTCTTTTTATTACGCTTCATTCTGTCCCTGCCCCTTCTTACTCTGCCCTATTTTATTCCAAGTCTTACCGCGCGCCCTCTCCCCTTTTCCAATCCCGCTTGGTTATTCCCACCCTTTCCCTCCCACTGCGTTGGATTCTGGCCACGCCCCCTAACCCTACAGTTGGGTTCTAACCACGCCTTCACATCAACTCCCAGAGTTCTATCCCGCCCCTTATTACCCCCGTGCGTTCTGACCACGCCCCTTTACCACCCCTCTGTGTTCTCGCCCCGCCCCTCACCAGTCTGCCCGTTCTATCTCCGCCCCCTCACCCCTCCTCCGCCTTCTATCTCCGCCCCCTTAGTTCCCCACTCACTTCGCAAACTGCGTGCTGCCCTGCCCCTCCCCACCCACCCGGTTCCGTCTCTCTCTGCTCTGTCCCGCCTCTTGGCACTTTCACGCCTCTCTCCCCCCCCCCCTTACGCTCTCTTGAAACGGTTCCCGTACTTCTTTCCTGGCTTCACCCGCACGCCGTCCACTCCAGTGGCCCAGACCCCAACTCGGCCTTTGCCCAGCCTGTTCTAATCCCTGCCCGCTCCTCGGTCTTTCTCTAGTAGCGGAGGCCCTGCTTCCCGGAAACGACACGGGCTTGGACCGTGCGGCCCTCGGCGGCCCGTGCGCTCGCGGTTCGCAGCCCTGGCAGGTCTCCCTCTTCAACGGCCTCAAGTTCCACTGCGCGGGGGTCCTGGTGGATCCCAGCTGGGTGCTCACGGCCGCACACTGCTGGAACAACAAGTAGGGGGCGCTCCTCCAGGATGCCACGGAGGGAGCGGGGTTGGCAGCCCGGGAAAGGCGGGAAGGGCCGGGGCACTGACACTCTCCCAACTCCGGGTGGCGTTGGTAGAGCAGGACTTCCCCTAACCCTGACCTTAACCCTAGCGGTAGGAGGAGAGTCGGGGCTTGGGCTTTGCCGCTAGGGGGCGGTGTGGCCCTCGCATTTCTGGGCCCTCCGTGCGTTTAGGCCTTTCCCTATAGGTTCCATTTAGCGGTAGGTAGGTGTATGCAACCAACAGAAGGCAGAGTTGGCTGTGGTCGAGAATTTAAAACTAAAAGAAAATGTGTGCCTCAGAAGTCCCCACTGGGGAGAAAGGGCAGGGCATCACAGAAAGAGCAAAGAGTGAGCTCACCCAAGAGCCCTCAGCCCTCAAGTCCAGCAGAAGCTGGGAGCTCACACAGGATCCCTCGTCCCCACATCCAGGACTCCCTTCTCTAGCACCCTCCTCCCTCAGCCCTTCCTCGGGCCCCTCTCAGCTCACTCTGCCCAGGACTCTGCACGAATGTTCCATCCTCTCCTGTGGCTCTTCTTTCCCCAGGCCTCTGTGGGCTCGAGTTGGGGATGACCACCTGCTGCTTCTCCAGGGGGAGCAGCTCCGCCGGACTGTTCAGGCCTTTATCTACCCCAAGTACCTGCGGGGCTCAGGCCCCATCCTGCCCGGGCGGACAGATGAGCACGACATCATGCTGTTGAAGCTAGGCAGGCCCGCCGTGCTGGGGCATCACGCCCAGACCCTGCGGCTGCCCTACACCTGCGCCGTCCCGGGAGACAGCTGCCAGGTGGCTGGCTGGGGAACCACGAGCACCCGAAGAGGCAAGACTGGGGCCCTGGACGCCTGGGTCTGAGGGAGGAGGTCGGGGGCCTGGGGTACGCAGCCTTGCATCTGCCCTCCTGCATCCCAGAGGATGGCGTTGGGCCCAGGGGTGACCTGGCATCTTCTCCCCTCAGTGAAGTACAACAGGAGTCTGAGCTGCTCCAGGGTCACTCTTCTGAGCCCCGTGGAGTGCGAGGTCTTCTACCCTGGAGTGCTCACCCACAGCATGATTTGTGCCGGGCTGGACCAAGGCCAGGACCCTTGCCAGGTAGAGATGAGCTAGGATGCGGCTCGGACTCATGGAGGGAGAACAGGGAGAGTGGGAAAGAGACGCCTGGCTCTGGCCTGGCTCGCCCGCCCTGTCCCTCCCCATCCCCAAACCCAATCCTCGGCCTGTCCTCAACCCCTTCCCACCGTGAAGCTGTTCAGAAACCCGCGTGCCTGCACGCCCGTGTCTCCTGCCGCTCTGCATCCTGAACCTGCCGGGAGCCCCAGTCCCAATACTACCCACCACACCTCCATTCTTCTACCCCACCCCAGAGCACCCAGCGTCACAGCTCGTTTTTAACCACCCTGCCCCAGCCCTCCTGTGCCCGCCCCCCTGCTTCCCTCTCAGTGCCTCAGACCCCAAAGCGGCAGGGCTCACACTGCTGTCTCCTCTTCCTCCCATCCAGAGTGACTCTGGTGGCCCTCTGGTGTGTGAGGAGACCCTGCAAGGCATCCTTTCCTGGGGTGTTTACCCCTGTGGCTCTGTCCAGCACCCCGCTGTCTACACCCAGGTCTGCAAATACACCAGCTGGATCCAGAGAGTCATCCGCTCCAACTGACCTGGAGCCCTCCATGCCTGCACCTCGGTCGCCCTCAGTCCGTGCTCTCCCCTCACCCCCTGCCCTCTCCTCTTCACTGCTCACACCCGAGCCCAAGAGCAGAAAGCAGTGGCAGAATGTTGTTACAGTAAGGAAGCTGGTTTAGTCATCCAGCCTCTGAGATGCAGTCAGGGTCACCCTGCTAGGCTTCTTGGACCACTCCCTGCTGTAGGACCTGGCCCAAGCCCAGTACCCGCGCTGGGCCTTGTTTTCCTCACCTGCAAAATGGGGACAGTGAAGTGCCAATGCCTCAGACATGTTTCGAGGAGATAATGATGTAATGTGCATGTGAAATTTTCTGGTCATTGTCATGTAATTCAGTGACCTGTGAGCGCTGACTAAACATTACCCATCCTCCTGAACACTTCCTGGTTCAAGCATGATGATTGTAACTGGAATGAAGTGCACAGGGGTGGTCTCCAACCCTGTCGCTGGCGAGATTCATATTCCCCACGCCCCTTCCAAGCCTCAGGAAGCTCCTTTTAATGATTTCCTCCTTTCCTCCCACCGTTCCCCATTTCTGAGTCCACCCGACACCATTTCCTCCTGCCTTAGTACAGCGAGGCTGGCCCGAGTCACCTGGCACATTCTCTACCTCAGGAGGCCACAGGAACTCAGGGGAACCCACCCTGCCTCCAAACCAGGGGCTGAGCCCCAGTCGCCGTGTCCACACCCAGAAGCCTCCCTCTGAAGTTCAGGGGAAACCTTTGGTTGGCTTGTTCTTAACTGACTTTGAGATTTTGTCGCGAAAGCTCAGGAGTGTTTTCCTCTCACAGAAATCATCTGTGCACATGTTTCCATCCGGGGCTGGGGCTGGAGCAGGGTGGGGGTGTCACACACAGAATCCAGGCAAAGGTAGGAGACAATGAGTCTCCGCTAAGCTGGACACAGGCACTGCCCAAAGCTTCCCGACAGCTCAGCCTGTCTTTGTTCCCCCTTCAGTCAGCAACTTCTCAAGCACCTGCTCTATACCAGCCCCGGGGCTGCACGCTGGAGACCTGGCAGAGACCACAGCAGAGCCCGAGATGGCCATCGAGGTCCAAGCACAGGGTTCAGCATACATCTCCCTTCCCTCTGGTTGGCTCAGCCCCATCAAGCCCCTGAGCACACCCAGAAAATGTCAGCCTGGTCCGTCAGGCGAGCTGTCACCCAGGGACCAGAAGCAATGTAGGTGGGAACTCCCCGGGGACTCATGGCTAAAGGCCCGTCACCGAAGCTGCCACCATGTGTTATGAGTCATGTCCTCTGCCAACCGACTTCTCCCCTCAGGAAGCTGCTCATCAGGTGCAGGAGACAACGGATAAGCCCTACATGCTTGGCATTCAGCTCTTCTCTCAAAGATGCCTCTTGCATGATGCCCACGCAGCCCGCCCTGGCTGAAGAGTCACAGATCCCCTTTGCTCTGCTAATTTCTTCTGCAAAACCATTATGGCTGATGCTTTCATGTATCTGCTTAGCTCTTGATGGTCTCTGTGAAATCCTCCCATATGCACACACATGAAGGCCGTGAGGACAGGGCTCAGAGGCTTGCTCGCCGTGTTTTCTAAGTGCCTGCCCTAGGTCGGACCCAGGAGCCACTCAGCATGCTGTTGAGTGGACAGGTAACACATGCTGCTCGGCTCTAACCGAGAAGGAGGGGCGAGGTGCACCTCAGAGGGTCTGAAAACTCTGCCTGAAGGACTCAGGGAAGGCTTTTCACACGAGGGGACATTCATGTGTGGTTTTTTGGGGGGTTTTTTTTGGTGCCAGGGATCAAACTCGGGTCCTTGTGCTTGCAAGGCAGGCAGCGAAACCACTGAGCTAAATCCCCGGCCCTCGTGTGTGGTTTTAAAGGACAAGTAGGAGCCAGGCACCAATCGCCTGCCTGTAATCTCGGGGCTCTGGGAAGCCGAGGCAGGAGGGAGGCAAGTTTGAGCCCCGCTTGGCGAACTTAGCAAGATTCAGTCTCATAAGATAAAAAGGGCTGGAGATGGAGCCCTGTGCGACGGGCCTAGGCTCAATCCCCAGTACTGCTAAACCGATCAAGTACATTTTTTAAAATTAAAAAATAAAAGATATGCACGGGTTCACCAGCTAGAGAAAGAAATGCGTTTCTCAGTCATCCCATGACTTTGCATCCATTACCTGAGCTCCCCCTCCATCAGGTGCCCCTCTGCACAATGGGAATAGCTGCTCGATCAGAGTCTCCTGAGGCCAAGTGAGATGCTGCATATGACTGCATATGCATCACCAGGCACAGGGAAACCAGCGAGAAAGGTAGCTGCTGAAATGTTTGCAGGAGTAGTAGGTGTGGCACATAGCGTAGGGTACACAGCCAGCCGCTGGTCCCAGGGCATCCCTGGCCTGAGAGGGTGGCACGGCTTGTGTCCTCTGGGGAGGGCAGCTCAGGAGGCAGCAGGGGAGGGGTGGGTCTATGGGACACTGCGCCTGCAGCAGGCACTGCTGTCAGTGCCTCATGTGAGTGAATTCACTGGGCCGCCACGGCCCCAGTTAGCACTGCTACCTAACAGATGGAGAACCTGCAGTCCGGTGACTCACCTGAGGTCACACTCCTCATCTGGGCCCGGACTGAAATGAGATGCAGACTGCCCAGTTCCTGAGACCATGTTCCCAGCCACGGCACCATCATGTGGGAGCTTTCTTGATAAGGAAGCCAGCAAGCAGTGGAAATCTGGAAGAGGGCTTTGAGCGCCCAGGGGAGCCAAGGATTGGCTTTGCCAGGAGAAATCAGAGAAGACATCTTGGTGAAGGGGCATTTAGGTTGGGTCTTGAAGGATGAGGAGGAGTTTACCAAAAAAAAAAAAAAGCGGAGGCGGGTGGGGGGCTATGGAAAAAGACATTCGCTCATTCAATGAACGTGCTCTGGGGCATTCCAGGAGCCCAGCCCAGAACTGAGTGATCCTGGGGACACAGATGAGTCACACCTGGGCTCGGCTCTCAGGGGCTGCCATCTGCGGAGGAGACACCGAGGAAGAGGAAGGGAGGATGGGGTGACAGGAAGGACAGTGTGGGTGAGGGGAGCATGGGCCTCAGGCTCCGGCATCTGTAAGATGCGCAGGGCCCCTGGGTCTTTGGGGGCTGTGCTAGGCGGAAGGGGACAGTCCGATGGGAGGGGCTGACCCGGACGGGCCAGGCCTCTGTGCGAGGGAAGGGGCGGGGGCTGTGTTGCTCGCCTCTCTGGTTCCTCTCACCCCGTCCTCCCAGCTGCCCACCCCCCTCCCTCTAGGAGCCTCCTCGATCCCTCTCCCATCTCTACTTGCTTTCTGGGCGACTCCCTGCACCCCTATATCCCGTGCTGTGAAGCTGGCCGGCCGCACTGCCTCACCCGGAATAAACCTGCCTCCATCCTAGGATCCCATTGCGGATGCTCCTCCTCCTCCTCCTCCAGGCCATGGAAAATTCTGGATCCAGACCCTGAGCCTGAGGTCAGGGAAATGGGGGTGCCCACAGCCTCTCCATGCCCCATTTATCCTTCGGTTCTGGCCCAGCTACAGCGAACTCACCCTGACAGGGGCTCACCTCAGTGAGGGGGCTTCCTTGCTCCCACTTCCCCTCCGGGGCCTCCATCTCAGCCCTGGGGCTTCCCCTCCCTGGCGATGTTTCTCAACCCTGCTTAATCACTGGGGCGGCCTGGAGGAGGAGGAAGCCCAAACCTGGCCACGGGTTCACCATAAAGAAGCCCGCATACCAAGCCTGGAGAGGACCCAGCACGAAGAGGTCATGAAGCTGGGGTTCGCCTGGGCTCTGCTCTCCCTTCTGGCTGGTAAGCCTCGACCCCGCTGCCCCGGCCAGTTCATCTACCCGCCTCTCGGTCCAGCGCCCCTACCCTGGCCTTCTGCACCCTGCCCTCCATGGCCCTCGGTACCCTCCCCTGGGCCCTCCAGGCCTGCTCATCACTGGTCCTTCTGCCCCCACCCCACCCCAGGGCACAGCTGGGCAGACACCCGGGCCATCGGAGCCAAGGAATGTCCCCGAAACTCACAGCCCTGGCAGGCTGGCCTCTTCTTCCTCACCCGGCTCTTCTGTGGGGCAACCCTCATCAGTGACCGCTGGCTGCTCACAGCTGCCCACTGCCGAAAGTCGTGAGTACTGGAGTGGCTGCTCTGGGGGGGCGGGTGTCAGGAGAGGGGGAGGGGAGGGGCTTCCCTGCTAGGGGAAGAAGGAGCCTTAGGCAGGAAAAGCAGAGCCTCCAGGTTTGATGCCACAAATCCAGCTCAGGATTACCAAGGTTAACCTTCCCAAATTCCAAAATTCCAGATCCTAAAATATCTGGTTCCGAGAGTTGTGAGAGAGTCTAAGAGCCTTCTGATTGGAAGTTTAGGCTATTCAAATCCTAGCCTCTGACCCTGAGAAAGCCAGAATCATAGAATCCTAAAATCCAGGGCCCATGAAATCCTAGAATCATAGGTTCATCGAGTATCAAAATAATCTTAGTGGTCCGGGTCAGTGCTGCCCAAGGGAAAATGTAACACCACCCACGATGCAAGCTTATGTTTTCTAGGAGGACTGCAAGTTCGAGCCTAGTCTGGGCAACTTAATTATTACAACTAATTTAATAATAGATTTAACTGGACATACTCAAAATATTATTTCCACATCTTTGTAAATAATTATGAATGTCATAGTTATTTTTCTTTTTCTTTCTTTTTTTATAGTAAGACTTCAAAATCCAGCATGAATTTCATGCATAGGACACATCTAAATTTGGACTAGCCACATTTTGGGTGTTTGACGGCTGTATGGTTAGTGCAGTCCTAGAATGTTAGTTTCAAAGTGTTCTTGGTTCTCTGAATGTAGACACTTACAGTTCTGGAATCTTTGATTCACAACACTGTCAACTGACAGTGACAGTGTTGAGAGAATTTGAAAAGACAGTTTTCTTAAACATGTAGATTCTGGTGGTTTAATATCCCAGAATTATATAATTCCAGTCTTAAAAACCAGGAAGCTTTAAGTTGGAGAATCATGAAGTATTAAACTGTTTCGATTCTAGACTCTAAAATTTATAAAACCATAGGTTTATTAGATTTCTATAATGGTAAAATTTTAGTCTTGTTGTCCCAGGATATTAGAACTCTAAACTCTTTAAGTATTAGACTTAATGCAGATAACTTTTAAATCTTGGATTTTTTTGAGTCAGAGAAATACAGACTGTTAGAATCTTGGATCCATAAAATTCTCAAACTTGAGCCTCTTGAAATTCAAGAATCACAGAAAGTGGAATGTTAGAATCTTAGAATTCTTAAATCTTAGATTCTGGGCATTCTAATAGAATCATAGAATCCACATGAAACATGAGTCCTTTCTGCATTATCTCTGAATGAGGGCCATCCATACTGTTCTAATATTCTTCCATCTGAGAATACAGCACACGTTAAACAAGATTCTGTGTGGGAATTTCCCATCATGCACAGCTCCATGATCTCTTAACTTCTGCCTGCAGCTCAGGCTAGATGAACAATGCTTAGATTTAGCTCCAAAGACAAAAGAAGGAAGAAGTGATATGGAGATGAAAGAAGTCAGAGGGTAGAACGGGGTGGAGGGGATAACTTCCCCAACCCAGAGCCAAGATCACAAGAGCGTCAGCAGGACAGAGAAAAAAGTAACACCTCATCTCAGGACTTGGGAAACTGAATTCTCAGTCATTAGCCTGGTGCCTAAAGTCAGAGGTCAGAGGCTGGGAAAAAGACATGTAGACCCCCAGAGGGCCCCCAACTGTTCAGAGCAGAATATGTGGGCTGGGACTGAAGCGAGAAGGCCCAAGGTTAGACCTCAGGAAGAAGTGCCTTGGTGGGTGAAGGGTATGATAAATAAAAAAGCCTAAGCTTACAGATGGCCCCCAATGAGGGGATTTTCCATACCCTGTCCCCTTCCATACACACCCCCCCAAAACATCCTGAGTCACTCCCGCAGAAGCCACCAGACTTGTGGGGGCAGGGGTGGGGTTGTTATTGCATGATAGGTGGGGCCCCCACGGGCCCACAAGGTTCCCAGGGGACCCAGGTCACCAGTGAGGCTCCAGACGGGGCCTCATAGGAGGCTCATTTCGCATGCGTGGTAAGTTAAGAGATGCTTTGCGGAGGAGCTACTAAGGCTGCAGAAAGAAGTCAGAGTGGGGAGCAGGGACCCACAGAGGGTGTGTGGCACCTGGAAGGCCACACACCATCCTGGTGGACAGAAAAAAAGATTGGGGCTGAGAAGTCCCCAAATGCCCACCTCCCCTCAGCGTGACCCCTAAAGTCTGTCCCTGCAGGCGCCTGTGGGTCCGCCTTGGGGAGCACCACCTCTGGCAGTGGGAGGGTCCAGAGCAGCTGTTCCTGGCCAGAGACTTCTTCCCCCACCCCGGGTTCAACAGTGACCTCAGCGCCAATGACCACAACCATGACATCATGCTGATCCGGCTGCCCAGGCGGGCGCGTCTGGGGCCTGCCGTGCAGCCCCTCAACATCAGCAAGACCTGCATCTCCCCAGGCACGAAGTGCCTCATCTCAGGCTGGGGGGCGGTGTCCAGTCCCAAGGGTACGGCCTTGCACCTGACACGCTCCCACTCCCTGTGTCTCAGCCCAGGGCCTGTTCTCTGTTTCCTTCTCCTCGCTCTGTGTCTACCAACATATTTCATCACATCTCAAATGCCGTCAACTTTAAGATGCACCCTTTAGTGAGCTGCTCAAAGTGGGGGAAAAAAAGAAAGGTCCCCTGAACAGTGTGACACCACTGACCAGAAGACACATCCGGACTTTAGAGATGCTTAAATGTGGACATGCGTGAATCTTAGAATTGGAGTAAAGTGCTTCTCTCACAGTCCCACATCAGCAACCTGCTGGGCAACCACTATTCATTTTCAGTGTCTTAAAAAAAGTCTGAGTGGGCTGTTGCTAATACCTAAAACCTGTGCATCTTATGTAAAAGCCAGGTTTCTGGATTCACTTGAAAAAGTCAAAGTTCCTACGATAGCAACCCCCCGGAAGCCAGGACAGACGCCTTCCACCAGATTCAGGTCCACTGCCACTCACTCTCCAGCTGCTGGCTGCCCGCACTGTTTGCCCAGAAAGCCCCTTGGTGCACCTCAGTTCCGCTGTGTGCTGCAGAGTTGCATACGGGTATCCCGTGGGCCTGTCTGTCTCTGCTGAACGCTGCACCATCTTTGTCTAGACCCGGCGCTTCCGCCTCTGCCTCTCTATCAGCGGTCATCTGTCCGTTTATTGCACTGTCTTCCCTCATTTCTTCACTACCTCCTCTGACTGTCTTTCTCCTTAAGAGGCCTGTTTTCCTCCATGTGAGTCACACCTGTGCCTCTTCTTGTCCCTTGTTCTCTGCATCTTTCTGGTTTTCTCTTGCTTTTCTAGCCCTCTCTTCCATCTCCTGTCCTTCAGCTACTCTTTCGTGCTGTAACTATGTCACCACTTTCTGTCTGTCTCTAGTGTTGTGCCATGGCTCTCTGGGTCCTCCGGGGAAAGGGAGGGTGCGGTGAGGGGGTAGCCGATGTAGGGGGACAGCTGCTGACCCTCTACGACCTTCTCCCCACAGCGCAGTTCCCGCTCACGCTGCAGTGTGCCAACATCAACATCCTGGAGCCCACGCTCTGTCACTGGGCGTATCCGGGCCACATCTCAGACACCATGATCTGTGCAGGCCAGTGGGAAGGGGGCCGGGGCTCCTGCCAGGTGAGACCCCACAGTGAGGAAGGAGGGCCTGCCGGTGGGGGATGCTGGGACTTGGGGGAGGGGAGAGCTGGAGGCCTCGACTCTTGGATCTGAAATAGGAGGGGCCGGGGGTCCAGACGCTGAGTCCTGGGGATGTGAGGCTCTCTGAGCTTTTAGTCCGGGGTCTGAGGGAGAAGAGACTGGAGACCCGGACTCCCAAGTGCTGGGGAGGAGGAAGTGACTGTGTCCAAGGGGTGACTGGAAATACAGTGAGGGTTTGCATTAAAATATTTATTACAGTAGGGCCAGGGATTTAGCTCAGTGGTTCCACCGCCTGCCTCGCAAGCGCAAGGTACTGAGTTCAGTCCCCGGTGCCAAAAAAGAAAACAATTTATTACAGTAAGAGATACATTGCTATTAATCTCCTGCGAAACAGTTCCCCTTGCTTCAAATACACCTATCCCATGGCTCTTGCCACTTTCTAAAGCAGTTCTGGAGGTCCTCAGTTCTGGAGGTCCTCTTTCCTGAGTGTCTTTACAAGATAGGGTCAAAAATAAGGTGAATGCTGCTGCCAAATGCCATCCAAAGAAAGGCAGGCTCATAAAAATGTCACAGCATGTCCTCATCCACCTTATTCACCGGATCTGGCACCATTCGACTTCTGCCTCCTCCCCAAAGTCAAATGACCATGAAAGGTCAATGTTTCGAATTCATTCAGGGCATTGAAGCAGCCAGGAGAGCACAGCTAAAGACACTCATGAAAGAGCAATCCCAGAACTGCTTCAGAAAGCAGCAAGAACCACAGGATAAGTGTGTTGGAAGTCGAAGGGGAGTATTTTGAGGGCGATTAACAGCAATGTGCCTTTTACTTGAAACATTCGATCACACCTCGTAATAGCGTTGAACAGACCGACCTAACAGTTTCTGCTCTTCTCCCGCACACAGGGTGACTCTGGGGGCCCCTTGGTCTGCAATGGGACCCTAGCGGGCGTTGTGTCTGGGGGCGGCGAGCCCTGCTCCAGACCCCAGCGACCCGCCGTCTATACTGGAACATGTCACTATTACGACTGGATTAAGAAAACCATGGAGGAAAACTGAGTCCCTAAGGAGTCACCTCAGGACTCCGGCCGCAATAGTCTCCGTCCTGGACTTCGGGTTGCCTGGGAGACCAAGCTCTGGACACTCAGAATGTACCCCTCGGGGCCGGAGATTTAGCTCAGTGGTTCTGCTGCCTGCCTCGCAAGCACAAGGACCCAAGTTTGATCCCTGGTACCAAAAAAAAAAAAAGAACGTATCCCTGGGGCTCGGTCCCAGAGCATTGGCCACCAGGATATGGCCACGCCCCCTCAAGGCGTACAGCCCGGGGGAGGGGCCCTAGGACGTCACCGAAAACTAGCACCGCCCCCTGGAACGGTCCAACTGCGGCTCCGCCCCGAGGAACACGCCTAGTAAATAGTCCCGCCCCCGAACTTTGCCCAATGGGACTTCTCCTCTGGACGCCACTCCTTTGGCCACGCCTCCTCCACCAGAGTCCCCGCCCCATGACGGCAGGCCTCGGCAGCTCCGCCCACGTGTCAGGGCAGCCAGTGTGGGACCTGCCTCTGCCCCGGGCTTGTCCTGGGTTTGAATCCGACGGGGACTCCAGGGGGAGGAGTTTGGGGGAGGGAGTCGATGCTTTTCCGAGCCAATGAGAGATTTTACAATAAAGCCGCCTTCCTTCGGCCCGCGCAGTGATGGCGAGCGCGAGCGGTGGGCGGTGAAGGGCAGACGAAGGACGTAGTGCCCCCTGGAGCCCGCACGAGTCCCGCCTGACGTCTGTCTCCATCACCCCTATTGCAGCAAGGCCCCTGAACCCTGCCCAGGTTACTCCCGCCACTCCCAGGGCAAGAGGAAACCAGGTCACGGTGCCTCCCAAACCTGCCTTCCCAGATCCCGCACCTCAGGCGGGCGGCCCAGTCCGCCCTCGGAAGACGCCTTTTTCTCATTCCGGTTGCTGACAGCAGCCCCCTCCTCCCCCAAGACCAGGCTCCTCGCCCCTCCTCCCAGAACGGAGGAATTCCCTCTCCCCCTCCTCCCTCAGCCCAGGGCTCCAGACCCCAACCCCTGCCCCCGCCCCGGGGGTCCCGGCCCGGGTCTTCCCGGGGAATCCCAGCTCTGAGCCCTCCTCCCTTACCTCGGAGTCCGGGATTCCATCCCATCCTCCCTCCAGACTGCGGTTCAGCCCCTCCGCCCCTCTGCACGAACTCCCGGGGTTCCCAGAGGCTTCTCCTGCTCGGTGCGGGAGGAGGCGGGGCAGGAGGCGGGGACTGCCGGTTAAAAGGCTGCAGACTCGCGCCCCGGGCCGCAGCACGGAAATACGGGCCTCTTCCGCAGAGTCGGGATCAATAGGTGACCCCGCCCCCGGATTCTGGAAGGTGAGATGGGAGGTGCTCGGACTCAGCCTCAGGCCCAGGGACCCTTCCTTCCTCCCCGGGGCGCAGGACCCCGGCCTCACACCCCACCTCCCTCAATACCAATCAGCCGGACCCCAGCTCCCTCCTCCACTCTCTTCTTGTCCATCTGTCCCAGACGCAGAGCTCCAAACCCAGTTCCCTCCCAGCGTGGCATGTCGGAGACATTCCCCCCGGCCACCGCCACACTTAGATTCTGCAGCTGGGGCTTCTGTCCCCTTCTTCCTCAGACCCAAGAACCTACATCCCCATCTTGCTGCGGCAGGACCCAGAGCAGCTCTGGAAGTTCTGCTCCATCCCTAGCCCCAAACCCGGAGTGCGAAGTCGGGCATCCCCTTCCGGCCTCAGCCCCTCCCTCTGCTGCTCTCAGGCCCCCCTGGGATGCCCCGCCCCCGCCCCGGCCGTGCAGGCCTGATGTGGACGGTCCTGCTGCTGCTGCTGCTGCTGCTGCTGGCCTCTTGGCCAGGTGAGGGGGCAGGGGCTGCACAGAGGAAACGGGCTGCTGGGGAAGCTGTGTGCACCCCTGGGGGCCATGGGGTGCACAGGGTGGCTGGGGAGGGGAGGGGAAGCCTGAGGCTGGGGCTCTCTGAGAGAGGGTGGAGGTGTGGAGCGTGTGTCAGGGAGGCGTGGCAAGAGTACTCCAAGGGGATGCCGCCAGGGTGCGCTGTGGGGCGACTGCCTGCGGGCTCCAGTGTGCGTGTGTGCGTGTGCGCGTGTGTGTGGCCCAGTGTGGCTGCCAGGCCTGAGGGCCGGGGGCAGCAGGGTGAGGAATCATGCAGTTCTGGGGTCTTCTGGGCTCTGGGACTGCCCCCAAAGGTGCTGATCCAACCCTCTCTCTCCTGCTGCAGGCCGAACCGAGGCGCAGGTGAGCAAGGTTCTGCAGGGCAGTGAGTGCGAGCCCCACTCACAGCCGTGGCAGACGGCCTTGTTCCAGGGCGAGCGGCTGCTCTGCGGGGGCGTCCTGGTGGGCACCAGGTGGGTCCTCTCTGCAGCCCACTGTAAAAAAACGTGAGTGGATGTTGGGACGGTGGGGTGCTTGAGAAGAGGGGATTGAGGCCTCAGCTTCCAAAGGAGAAAGCTGGATCCCTGGTCACGGGGAGGAGGCCGGGCCTGGGCCCGGGTCTGAGGGAGGAGGGCTGAGTCCCAGTTGAGGAGGAGGCTGGCTCCCCAGCTCTCCCCTCCATTTCCAGAAAGTACACAGTGCGCCTGGGAGATCACAGCCTGCAGAGTAAGGATGAACCAGAACAAGAAATTTCTGTGGCTCAGTCCATCCAGCACCCCTGCTACAACAGCAGCAACAGTGAAGACCGCAATCACGATCTGATGCTCATCCGACTGAGAAAGCAGGCGTCCCTAGGCCCCAAAGTGCAGCCCATTGACCTGGCGAAGCATTGTGCCAAAGTTGGCCAGAAGTGCACCATCTCAGGCTGGGGCACTGTCACCAGTCCCAGAGGTAGTGAGGGGGCTTGGCCACCACTGGGAGGGACAGGAGGAGCTGCTTGGCCCAGTGGACCCTAAGCCACTGGCAAATCTTGTTCTACCAGGAGAAGACAAAGAAGGGGAAGTGATTGTGATGTTGGGGTTCACCCAGGGTGAGGCCTGGAAGGGCAGCCAGGAGTAGGGAGGGAAGGGAGCAGACGAATAGGCAGGCGGGGCTCCCAGTGTCCCCTTTTGGATGGATAGAGCTGTCCTAAGAGTTCTTTCATTATGCAGGTTTTTTATACACTCTTCTTAACAGACTTAGGATGTATGCACTCCTCAGAGGCTCAGGAAAGACTCCTGAGCACCCTCTTCCCTTGAACCCAGGATCCTGGCCCTGGCCCCTCTTCCTTGTGATCCAAGAGGCCAGCCCCTCCCTCGCTCAGGACTCGGTGGTCCAGGTTCCCAGCTTCCTCCTCTGTCTGGACTTCTGTCGGGAATCCCTTCGGGACTTCATAGAGTCTAGACAACCCCTCTTCTTACTTCACAGTGAAAAAATAAATCAGGGCTCAGCACACAGGCAGTAGGCAGCACACGGTCTGTTCTCCAGACAGCGGCAAAGTCGGGATCCAGTCCCTGCTTGCCCTCCTCCTCCTTGGAATGAGACAGTGTGTTGCTGCTCGAGAAGCAGGTGGATCTCCTGGAACTCCGCCTCTCCTCCTCCCTGGAGCCCCTCCTCATCTCCCAGCCCCGATGTCCTCCTCTGCGAATTGGGAATCACTACTCAATAGATTTTTGTGCTCCAACTGACATGTATTTTCTTCACTGTGAGCTCCTAGTGCTTGGAATGGTGCCTGTATACAGTAGGTGCTCATAAGTATTTTTTAGATGGAGAATGAATGAATGATGCATCCCTCCTTCAAAGAGCTGGTGGGAAGTTCCCATGAGATTGTAAGCATGCAGCCTCTGCCGTGGAGAGGCTTTTCCCCCTCAAGCCTGTTCCACCAAGATTGATAAGGGGATTCATTCCACTTTCAATAATTAAGTCAATACTTATTCACTGAGCACCTAGCCTGCCCCAGGCACTGTTACAGGCACTGAGGACACAAGTGTGAGCAATGTGGGGTCATGTGCAAGGTGGGAAAAATAGACAATAAACAAACACACGTAAAACAAAATATTAGGTAGAGTTAAGTGCTGCTGTAAGCTATTGGGGAGGGCATGGAAAAGAGTGGCAGATGGGTAGTGTTTTAACTAGAGTGGTCACTTCTGGAGGCTTCTCAGAGGTGGCATTTGGAAGAAGGACCTGGAAAATGAGAACATGGTGGTCTGAGGGCAGGGAGGCAGAGGGTCAGAGGTGACACAAGGGGCCACCCCAAGTCTCTCCCCAGGGCCACAGCTCTGCTTGGTGTGGGGAGAAGCGATGCTCCCTGAGAACTCCCCTCCGAGCTTCAGGTGGGCAGAGGGAGGGGAGAGCCACACCAAGATGGGCAGAAAGGGCCGCTCTCTTTTACAACCTCTTCCTCCTCAGAGAACTTTCCTGACACCCTCAACTGCGCAGAGGTGGAGATCTTCTCCCTGAGGAAGTGTGAGGAGGCCTACCCAGGGCAGGTCACAGACGGCATGGTCTGTGCGGGCAACAGCAATGGGGCCGACACCTGCCAGGTGAGTAACCTGAAGTCCCCTCCTCCCTCTTCCTCCAGCTCCACTCCGTAGAGGCTCAACTGTTGTGGGGAGTGGTAAGGAAGGTGACCCCAAAGAGTTAGTAGCCAGAGGTTGTTCCTTTCCCCACGGAGTGGAGTGGGATCCGGTTCAGGAGAAGCCATGCTGGCCCTGAAGGTCACACAGCACAGGGACCAGGAGCATTGGTCGTCACTGTCCTTTCCTTGGAGAGCCTGGCCTGAAGGATGAGAGGCAGATGGCCACGAAGGAGAGTCTGAGGCTGGAGGCCAGGCAAGCTCCCTGCTCCGCTTCCCAGCTCTCCTGCCTGGAATTTGTGCCCACGCCACCACCAGCCAGGAAGTCAGCCACCTGTGTGAGCCCCGACTGGGATCCCGAGGACGGCTCCCATCCCCTGAGATGGGTTCCTTGGACAGTAGTGCTGCGTTATCAACTGTCCCCTCAGTAAACCCCCCTTCCCTTAGGACCTGCCATAGGTACAATATTCTCTTCCTGTTGGGTAACTCCAGTCTGGTGTCCCCTGGCTTTGTCCTCTTCGTTAAAGCTCCACCCTGTCATTAATGATTGGTCCCTAGAGACAATGCCTACTTCCTCACTGGCCAAGAATGGATTAATTTCCATCACTGATACTGCATCGAAAGCAGAACTCTCTCCATTCTTCCATAAAGGCAATTGGCTCTTCACAGAGATTCCCTCCATTGTCCCCTTGAGATCTGGGGTTTGTGTGCATCTGTGTGTCCGCAAGAACTCTGGTCCTTTCTCCTGTTTGGTTGGAATCTCTGGAGGAAACATCTCAGTCCCCTCCACATTATCCCCCCAGTCTGCTCTCTGTATTGCACTCTCTAGACTTCCTTCACACACTTCCCTCATTGGTCTGATTTTGGCCATCACCCTTAGAGACCCCATCAACATCCTGTACATCAGAGGCCCCACCTTCTCACTTCTAACTGGCCTCAGGGAACAATGCTTTTCTCTTCATTGGCTGTAGGGGACCAATCACATTATAGAACCAGTATTAAATGCTAGGAGCAACAGGAAGATGTTTTGTGGGCATTTCAAAGACATTTGCTCTCTACTGATCCCCTCCAGGGCGATTCCGGAGGCCCACTGGTATGTGACGGCGTTCTCCAGGGCATCACATCCTGGGGCTCAGACCCCTGCGGGAGGCCCAAGAAACCCGGTGTCTATACCAGCATCTGCCACTACCGCAAATGGATCAAGAAGACCATGGGCAACAGGGGCTGATCCTAGAAAAAGCCTTGGATCCCTTTCAATAAACACACCCCTGCTGCTTCCTCGCCTGTCTGTGTTTTGGCTCTGTGGGGAAGGGTGAATTGGAAGAGGGTATGACTTGCTATCTGGCTTGGTGGCAGATCTGAGAGACCAGGACCCCATGGCTTCTTTGGCGAGGGCCAATACCCAAATAACTCCCCTGACTCTTTTTTGTTTAGAAAGACTTGAATGAGTGGGAGAATTATTTCAGGAGAGAAAGGATTTTCAAATATCCAGGAGGCCAGTCTGTGAAATGTAGTCTTGAAAAGGTTTTGTTTAGTTTTTCTGAGCAGCCTAAGTTTTGTAAGATTTTTGGGGGTTCCTCGCCTGCTTTTCTTCTGATTGTGGGATATGCATAGAAGAGTACAGGAAATATTCACACATCAACACCAAGTAGGTAAAAAAATAATACTTTGGGCCAGGTATTTACCTCAGTGGTTCCACTGCCTGCCTCACAAGCGCAAGGTCCCAAGTTCAATCCCCGGTACAAAAAAATTAATTAATTAATTAATAATAATAATACTTTGACATTCTTCAAAAGTCTAGAAATCATTTTCACAATTTTTTTTTTTGTACTGGGGATTGAACTCGGGTCCTTGCGCTTGTGAGGCAGGCAGCAGAACCCCAGAGCTAAATCCCTGGCTCCCACTGTATATTCTTATAAAGGACTAATCTAAGCCCAGCCTGGACAATTTAGTGAGAATTTGTCTCAAAATAAAAAGGGCTGGGGATGTAACTCAGTGGTAGAGCACCCTTGGGTTTAATCCTCAATATTGCAGAAGAGAGAGACAGAGAAAGAATATGAATGGCCCAGCTCACCTTTCCTCATTCAGCCACATCATAGGTCACTGAATGGCCAATTGTTTGATTGTGTTCTGGTCAGGTGACCAATCTGAGCCAATTGGTGGTCATTTGAATTCATGTGATATGAAACATGGCTGCCTAGGGTTGTTAGAAGGCTACTCTCCACAAGGGATGTGGGTGTGTGAGATGTCTTATTCACATGAATATCCAGCTCTGTCCAACTGCTCCTTAGATCAGTCACTGTTGCTAGGGAAAAAGCATGGCTCTTGTTGCCCTGACCTAGGACATTTGTCCATCCTAGTGGGTGGGCGGGATTGGACGACTATAATGGACAGTTTCACCACAACTACAGGAAATGAGAAAGCATCACCCCAAAAGAAGTGGAGTGTTGTTCTTGAAGGAAGGGGGAAGGGAATCCAGAAAGTCAAAAACAATGGACCATCAGAACCCAGAGGCTGAGTTGGGAGGTGCCAGAGTCATTGTGTCCCGGATCCCTTAGGGCAGGGCACAGCTGGCAGCATGGTCAGATGCCAGTTCTCATGTGTGGTCATGAGCTGAAGGGTGAGTCATCAGACAAAGGTTCAGGACATGGATCTGAGGGTGAGGGAGGTATGAAGCCTGGTGTCTAGGTGGGACTTAGTAACAGGTATTAGTGTTAACCCCGGAGGACACAGGGCAGAAATTTAGGCTCTCACCAACGTGGGGGGTAAGCATCATTAGTAGGCCCAGAGAATGCATCATTAATAGTCTGTTTTGAGACAAACGAGACTCAAGGCATGTGAGGGTGGAACAGGGGAATTTCCTCCTGAGTGTGTGTATGCAGTGATAATACTATGGGCTTTTGGGTTCCTCGCATTCAAGTTCTGACCCTTCTTTCTCCTTAGCTATGCAGTTTTGCTCCAGTGATCTAATCTCTCTTAAACTTCTGTTTCCTCGTCTATAAAATGAGGGCAACAATCCTTACTTGGGCCGATGTGAGGAAGAACAGAGACGAGCTCTGAGAAGCTCCTCTCGCACCACTGTGCCAGTAGACAAGACAAGGAAACTGCTTCGTTCCCTGGATGGTGGGATAAAGGAGCTGGTGTTAATTCAGCGCCTGCTATGTGCCCACCAATCTCCGTCCACGATTGACACAACCCTCCCCGCTGCCTCAAGAATCAGGCTTTGCACTCTTGCACTTTAGAGAAGGGCTATACAGACTCAGAAAAATGAAGTCACAAGGTGAGCAGCTACGACACAAACCTGGGTTGGACTGACTCGTGAGGACACTTGCTTTCTACCTCACCCCAAGACAGAAGGGCTCAGAGATCAAAGCAGGGCTAAGTATAAACATGGTGCATCTGTAGGTGCCAGAGGTGGGCCAACTAGTATTTATTTAGGTTGCTCCTATGTTTCCCAGTCTGAGATGGATGGTAAGAAGGCAAAAAAAGTGCCCAAGTGACCACCTTGGCTCACGAGGACTGGGATTTAGCAACAGAGCCAGATTAATACTTAGGACTACGACTCAGAGTGACAGACATGCAACGCACATCTGGTGACTTGAGAGTGATAGCAGAGCTCCGGAGTGCCACAGCTCCTTTCCCTTTTTAACAGAATGCTGAGGACAGTGAGGACCGAGATTGAGAGAAACCGGAGATGATGATTCAGGCAGAAGATAACAAACTGGCTGTCTTGTGAAAATTACTCCCTTTGGAACCAGAAAGGAAAATTACTGGCTTCTAGGTCATGGAGCTGTCAGATTACATAACCTGGGGGCTGTCTCTGTTTCTTGGGAGCCCGAATCAGGCAGGGTGACACCCCTCAAAGCCAGGGTACCACTGTGGAACTGGCAAGGCCAGGGGTCTGAGTTTTGGGATCTGATTTTGGACCTGATGAGGGTCAATTGCATCAGGTTTAGTGATTATTTTAAACAGCATGGCATCCACATTAGAGTGGTGTTAGTTGGGAGGATTTGTTTTATAGTTTGTATGGAAGGAAAGGTCAAAATTGTGTTTGAAGTTGGGGAGATGAAGATGGAGTGCAGGAAAGTTGGCAGTGGAAATGAAATTGGGATTTTAGTAGACACTGGCTTGGAAATGAGAACAGGGATAGAGTTGGGATACATTACAGTTGGGGTTGGATGACCACGTGGGCTTTCTGCAGTATGACAGGAATGGAGACTGAAATCTGAGTTAGCTCTGAGGTTCTTTAGGGACTAAGGCTGTGGTGGGGATCAAGCTGAGTTTGACTTATGGTGAGGGATTTAGGCTCAGTTCAAGAGTTAGATTTGAAGTTAGTCGAAGATGGATCCTAGACTGCATTAATAATTGGAGTCAGAAGCTCACATTTAGGTTCTGGGTTTAGGTGTAAGTTGGAGTTGGTCAAGGTTGAAGCAGGATTTGGGTAACCTTAGGTACCCAACATTAGGTACAAGTTGAAGCTTGGGCTTCAGCCTCGGGCCATGTCAAGACTGGTGTTGGTGGGCAGTAGAGTTATGTGTGAGGTCAGGGTCTCATGAGGTCTTTCTCCCCTTCTTGGAAGCAGCCAACCACACCTGACCATGTCTCATCCATTAATGGCACCACCACCACCTGGCAAGAACCTAAAGCCTTAACATCCATCTCTCCACTTCTCCATCCATTCCACTAGCACAGCCGGTTGATTCTCTCTCCTAAGTCCAACCAGAATCTGTCTACTTGATGTCATCTCCACCTCCCAGGGCCCTTATGCAAGCCACCATCATCTCTCATCTAGACATCAACGACTTCTTCATGATCTGCCAACATCTTCCCTTCTCTCTAAATCCATCTTTATACAGCATCCAGAGTGCTGTTTTGAAAATGCAAATCTTGTTACATTATTTCCCTGGAGTCCAAGTCACTCCTCTTTGTCCACAAGGTGCAGTCAGACTCACCAAGCCATGAAAGGCACTTTGTGGTCTGGTTCTGGGCTGCATCTGCATGGATCCAGCTCAGGCCTTGTGCATGCTGTTTCCTATACACAGCATGTTCCCACTCCTCCTAAGTTTCTCCAGTTAATGCTTATTACACTTGTACCTTTAAGTTCATTGTCACTTCCTGGGTCGAAACTTACCAGAAATGCTTCAGAACACCCTACACCTTCCCTTCAAAGCATGTTTTATAGCTGTAATTTTACAGCTGTTTATTAAGACTATTGGATTACTATTCTTTTACACAAGATTGTCAGCTCTCTGGGAAAAGGGACACTCCCTGGGTTTATGCAGCATTGTGTCCTCAGCATCTCATCCAGCTGTCATACAGCCAGTGTTCCATATAAACTCAGTAAATGTATGTATGTAAAGAACTAGGTCTGCTCCAGGTACGGCTTGAAGGCCAGAGAGAGAGAGCCAGCACTAGAGGGAGATTGGCCATGTTGACTGTTGTGGCTTCAAGATAAAAACTCAAGGTAGGATTGGATTTGAATTCATGGTTCCCAGTTATATTGGGGATCTTAGTTGGGATTTGGGTCAACACTGAGGTGTTAGTAAAGATAAATTTGGCTGTAAGGACCAAACAACCATATCCCAGATAAGAAGCCTGATAGAGCCACAAGATGAGAGGATTCCACTCTTGGATAATTCACCAGCACAACAACCTCATCAAAGATCCACACAATCATCACTCTGCCCATCTGCAGTGTTTTGGCTTGATCCACCATCCATTTACCCTCATGGTCCCAGGAGGGCTGCCACAGTACCAGAATTTGCATACAGAAGGGATACCATCTAGCAGAAGAAATGAGAACCCTTCCAGTGACTCAAAATAAGGAAATTATTCTCAGAAGTGCCCATAGTCTTTCCTTCACTCCTTATTGGCCAGAAAGGCATCACATGTCCACCTCTGAACCAATCAGTGTCAAGCACAGTGTGGCTCCTGCACTTGGCTCACCCAGGCTTAGGGTCATGATGAGGATAAAGGATTATCAAGCAGAATCAGATCGAAAAGAGGTGCAAAGGAGTGAGTGCTTGGGTAGGCAGCAGTGATATCTATCGTGGGTCAGACTGAGAGTGAAAGATGGAATTGGGCTTGGGATCTGGACTGAGAACAGGTTTGAACTGGGATTGAGGACTGAATCCCATTTTGGGGTCTGATGTAGAAACTGACGTCAACTCCAATTTTAGGAGTTCGTGTTGAAGCAATAATCACAACATGGTTGTGAACTCATCTCCCCCAAGTTCCACCTGGGCCCCTCGCTCACTCCCGGCAAGCTTAGGTTCAAGTGCCACCTTCATAAGGAGCCTCTGGGCCTTCTTTCCTGATAGGGTCACCCCAGGGGTCCTCCAGGGCAGGGATCCAGTATCTCCTCAACCCTCTGCCCTGCTTTTATTTCCTTCCATAGCACTTAGTACCACGTAGCGAATTCTACCTTCTACATGCTAAGTTTTGCACAAGTGATCTCTGGCCCAGGAGCGCAGGCAGATCTAACAACAGCAGGAATCTCGGGCTGTATCCAGAATGGATCCTGGGCCACAGTACACATTCAATGGATGCCTCTGGGATGGATACGATGAGCAGAGACGAATGGACGTCTCATCCCTGTTACAACCAAAACTCCCCGAATGGACTTCAATTTGAGGCAGATCACACAATATCAAGACTATAGTACGGAATATTTCATGACATTCAAACAAGGGGAAATTATCACATGGACCGACAGGGGAAAGTGCTCCAGATATTTCACAAGGACAAAAAATTTGAAAGCCAGGCATGGTGGTATATATCTGTAATCCCCAACACTCCGGGAGCCTGGGGAGGGAGGATCACAGATTTGAGCCCAGCCTGGGCAATTTAGTGACTTAGCGAGAACTTATCTCAAAATTTAAAAAGAAAGAAAGAAAGAAAGAAAGAAAGAAAGAAAGAAAGAAAGAAAGAAAGAAAGCAAGCAAGCACTGGGAATGTAGCTCTGCATAAAACCCTGGATTTGAAGCCCAGTACTAAAAGAAAAAAAAATCATATTACATAATAATATTTAGTGCAGTTATCAGTACATAATATAGAGATGAGCCTGTGGATGGTATCATCAGACACACACGAGAACACAGATGGATAACAGTAAGCACGCAGCAGGTGGAGTTCAGGAAAGCACTCTTTGTTCATTTCACTCCTCTTTATTACAGCTGGAAATGGGTTCAGGCTCAAAGGCAGGGGGATGCAGCCTGTATAAGCCCCACAGGCTGGTCAGAATTAGGGTGTAGGGTCCAGAGCACCCCCAGGGCAGAAGAACGGCCCAGGGGAAGGGCCACAGCCGAGCCAGCCTTTGCTCCAGCCCTTTCTGAGTCCCTTTCCCACCCCTCCAAGCTGGCGCACCTGGTCCTCCCCCCGTGCAACTGTGACCTCCAGAGCCAGAATGTGCGTGGGCACGGGCGAGTGAGCTGGGTGCCACCCGACTTGAAGACCTGGCTTCAAGAAGGGTGGAGAAAGAGTTGGGTGGTATCAATTGCTTTGGCCGCCTCAGGGGTTCAGATAACCAGAGCCAGCAGGAAGAGGTGTCCAAGTGCCAGCTCCGCCTGCACCCCAGGGCATCAAGGGAGGTGGGAGGAGGAGGCGGATGGTATAAGAGCACTGCCCTGCACAGGGCTGCACACTTGCCCAACCTAGACCTGAACGCAGATCCTACCAGAGGCTGCTGCGGAGGTAAGAACAGGATGTATGTAGCAGGGCAGGGGGGTACAGGAGGGGAGCCTGGGAAGGGTGGGGGTGCTGCTGCCTTTGCCTCCCAGTTAGACAGGGAGGTCACTCACTGGCACCTCTTAGAGGGGAAGAGAAAGGATTCAGACTTACAGCTCGAGAGGACCAGAGAGGGCTGGGAGCTAGGGGCTGAGGCTCTGCACTTCCTGTCTGAGGGAGGAGGCTGGGCCTGGATCCCAGGTCTGAGCGAGGAGGGCTCCAGACTGAACTTTCCATCCTGAGTTTTCTCCCTTCCCCTGCTGCAGTAGAAGTGGCTGGTCTTTGTCTGGCCGCCCCTGAGAGACTGCGAAGCACCATGGTGGGATCCCATTTCCTGCCCCTGCTGTTTCTGCTGCTGGGCTCAGCCCTGGTAACTGCCGAATGGGATAGTGCAGACTCTCCTGGCATCCACACTGACAGTCACACTCACCAAGGAGCCCGTCAGCCTCACCAAGGAGACCGTGAGTCTGAACCATTCCTCCTGGACAGCTTCCTTCCAGGAAAGGTCTGGCTGGGCAGCTCTGTGCTCCTTTCTACTTCTCTCTGCCTCCTTCTCTGCCCGTGCCAAGCCCGGCCTCTGCCCGAGATGTCTCTCCACCAGTCCCTGAGCCTGTGCCCGGTGGGTGCCCCTCAGAGCCTTGCTCCCTTGGCCCCTCCCATGCCCACGTCTCACCCTCTCTGCCCTCCTCTCCATCGTGGCCCTGCATATCTGCCTGTCTCTGCCTCCCTGATGCTGGCTACCTACATGAGTCTCTGTGTCCCACACAGGTGAGGGTGATGGGAACGGGGACAGGATTATTGAGGGCTACAAGTGCGAAAAAGGCTCACACCCTTGGCAAGTGGCCCTGCTCAAAGGCAGCCAGCTGCACTGCGGCGGCGTGCTGGTTGACAGGCGCTGGGTGCTCACGGCTGCCCACTGCAAGATGGGGTAGGTGCTGCCCAGAGCAGGCCGGGGGAGGGGGGCAGCGTCCTTCCGGCACTCACAGTCCCTCTCTGAGCATCACCGCCTTCTCCCAGCCAGTACACTGTGCAGGTGGGGAGCAATGAGCTCGGAGACAGAAGAGCTCAGAGGATTAAGGCCACAAAATCATTCCGCCACCCGAGGTACTCCACGCAGACCCACGAGAATGACATCATGCTGGTGTGGCTCAATAAGCCAGCCAGGATGTCGTCCACTGTGAAGGCCGCCAACCTGCCCACCCGCTGCGAGCCTGCTGGGACCTCGTGTTCTGTCTCTGGCTGGGGCACTACAACCAGCCCTCAAGGTGACACTACCTCAGCGACCCGGGGTCCGGGCCCAGCCTCCTCCCTCAGACCCTGGGTCCGGGCCTGGCCCCTGGTCCTTCAGTCCCAGTTGTCCAGGCCCGAAGCCCCTTGGCACTTGGGCCTCCCTCTCCCTGTGGGTTCCATCAGATGAGTCGCAGGCATCTGAGCGACAGCCCTCCTTCCCTTTCCTCCAGTGACCTTCCCAGCCCAGCTCATGTGCACAAATGTGAACCTCATCCCCCACAATGAGTGCAAGAAGGTGTACAAGGACCTGCTGGGACAATCCATGCTGTGCGCTGGCATCAAGGACTCCAAGACCAACACCTGCAACGTGAGCGTCTCCTCCCGCCTTGGCTGTCTCTGCTCTCAGCACTGGCCACCGAGCCTGACTGGCAGGCCTGGCCCTGCCGTCCTCTCCTGACCCTGCCTCCTCTGGCCCTCTCCCTCATGCCCTGCAGGGCAGGCACATGAGCATCAGGGGCTGCTGAGACTCTGGGCATGGGCAGAGTTTCATGCAGCTGAGAGAGGAGGGCTGGGCCTAGGGAGTGAGGCCCTGCCTCAGACCCAGACCTTTGCAGGACACCAAAACCCCAGTGACTGAGATAAATTACATTCTGGGCCTTCTTTCTTTTTTCTGGGACTGGGGATGGAACCCCCAGGGCTCTTGTTTGTTTTTCGGTTTTGGTACCGGGGATCGAACTCAGGTCCTTATGCTTGCACAGTAGGCGGCGAAGCCACTGAGCTAAATCCACGCCCCAAACCCAGGGCTCTTGCGCTGAGCTATATCCCAGTCCTTTTTTGTTTTATACTTCGAATCAGGGTCTCATTAAGTTGCTGAGTTGTCTAGGCTGGCCCCACACTCGGAATCTTATTAGCTCAGCCTCTCGCAGTGTGGGATTTCCGGCATTCCCTGCCTCATCGGGTTTCGGAGCAACATGATTTAAGAAATTGATGCAAAAAGTCTACCATGAGCCAAAGGTCACAATTTAAGGAGTAGCCCAGTCTTACTGAATTTTCCTTTTGCCTCTGGGGCCAGTATGGCTCAGCACAGCTCAATTCTGATGCTATTTTCATTTAAAATTTGCATGCTATGTCCATCCTGCTGAGGTTTTTCATTTTGTGCCTTGGCTTACGTTTGATTTTTGTTTTGTTTTGTTGTCTTTTGTATTTTGAGACAGACCTTGCTTTGCAGTTCAGGCTGGTCTTGAACTCACAGTGATCGGTTTGCCTCAGCCTCCCAAGTGCTGGGATTTCAGGCGTGCACCACCACATCCAGCTATGTTTCACTTTTAAATTACTGCATTTAAGTATTATTTATTGTGATAACTGAGGTTTTTCTGCCTGATGTGAATGCCCTGGTCCTGGTCCTGGTGATAGGATTGTCTCTTCTCCTCTCTTTTGTCCCCAGTTCTCCATCTGTAGTCACCCCTCTGTTTCTGAAGTTTCGCCACACCTCCTCTCATGCCTACTTTCATCTCATTCTTTCCCTTTGTTGTCTCTGTGCATCGATGTCCCCCCACCATGTCCCTACCCTCTGAGGGGAGGTGGGTGGTGTCCATTAGGGATGAAGGGATGGGGAGAGAGGCCTAACCCGAGAAACCTTCGGGGGACACTTAATGAACGTGGAGTGGTGGCTAGGAGTCTGTGGGTCAGAAGCTCCAGTGCTCAATTTAATGCACTCCTGAAGTTCTTAGTGGTTTTTGGACAAGGAGTCATGTATTTTTTGCAAGGAGCTCTGTAAATGGTGTCATAGCTCCTACCCTTGGTTTTGAAGATTACCCTGCCCTCCCTTAGAGACCTATATTGAAAATGAATGAGCGAATCCCTGGAAGCCCCGCCTTTTCCCTGTGATCGTTTCCATTGGCCAGGACACAACCAATGTCTTCAAAGAACCTGGTTTGTCCATTCCAAGATAATACTAATTCATGCTTTCTCATTGGTTCCTACAGGCAATGAGTCTCTTCTCATTAGCCAGAGTGGCCTGGTAGGACAAACACTGAACTGGGAAATGCATAAAACTGAGTTGAGACCAGAGGGTTTGATCAGAAGCTAAAACTGATCTACTGTGTTCCCTCTAGGGTGACTCAGGGGGACCACTGATGTGCAGAGGTACTGTGCAAGGCGTCGTGTCCTGGGGAACTTTCCCTTGTGGCAAACCCAACGACCCAGGTGTCTACACCCAACTCTGCAAGTACACCAACTGGGTGAAAAACACCATGAGAAGGCATTCCTAATACGGCACCAGCAGTCAGATCACCACTCCGGGCAGGAAAGTCACAGAAATAAGGACATCATCGACCTCTAAATGCCTACTTGACTTTATCTTTCCTCAGAGATGTATTAAAACCTCAAAAACACAAGTCAAAATAGCAAGGACTGGCCAGGGATTTAGCTCAATGGTTTCACCTCCTGCTGTGCAAGCACAAGGACCCGAGTTCGATCCCTGGTACAAAA